GCGGTTACTTGGAGTTCTTAGTGCGACGGTTCTTCTGTCCGTGTAGATAGAAAAGAGGATTAACGCTTAGGTTCTCAATGCGCAGCGTCTTCTCCTGCTTGGGTCACAATAGTGTAGGATTAGTCTAGGCGAGCGTCGTTCGTCATAGTTGTTAGATACGGTTTAACTGTGATAGAGATAGAGTCGTTCTCATGCAAACATCTCTCTGTCGGTACTCGCTTGGATATCATAGCAGCGTCTTTCTGCCGCTATGTACCTGGGTTCTCTGCGAGCGGATCTTCTCTTGTGCTCTAGCTAGGTAGATATAGTACTGGTTCTCATCGTGAGTAGGTTTGTCATTGCGGGTTACTTAGGAGTTGACATAGTAGTTAGGCGAGGGTCCTTCTACTCTGGATAGATGCGAGTGTTACGCTAATAGCGAGTTTCTCATTAGCGAGATAGATAGAACGTAGTTCTCCTGCCGGTTAACCTAGAATAGATGTAGACTGTGTAGGGTTCTCAATAGCGAGGTTTTCTGGCCGGGTATAGAACTAGTTGAGCGGATATCGTCAGTAGTCGCAACAGCGTATATGCTGCCGCGAGTTTAAGCTGGGTATCTCTAGCGAGCTAGTCGTTCCTGCCGGTATACTCCTGGGTTCTCTAATGCGGAGCGTAGTCTTTTCCTGACGGTTTACCATGGTAGTTTATGTGGCTGTTTCTCTGCCAGTTTACTATAGTCTCATGTGATAGCGTCCGTTTCCTGCGGTTACCTGGAGTTGATCTATGCGGAGGCGTTCTGTATCTAATGACAACGGTATAACGCTGGCCGTTTCAATGCGGCGTTACGTTCTATACTGGGCATAGATAGTAGCTAGTGTACCTAGATGCTAGTGAGATGACTGATGAGTAGATGGTTCTCATCGAGGACGTCTTCTACTGGCGGGTATTTAGAACTGGGGGTTCGTCATGCGAGCGTTTATACTCTGAGCGGTTTACGCTGAGCGTATCGTCATGTGAGCGATCTTTTTCCTGCGGTTACCTGGTTCTCATTAGCGATGTCGAGCGTTTATATGAGCTGTGTACCTGTGAGGTTATTGATTGGCGGTGATCTAGTCTATAGAATAGATAATAGATAGATAGATAGATAGATAATAGGATAGATTATGTCGGTTACCTGGCGTTTCATGCACATCTCTCCTGGCCGGTTACTGGGTAGATAGATGATAGTTGCTCTTCCCGGGCGAGTAGCTCATAGTTAGAAAGACGGTAACTGAGCGCGGTGATACTGGAGAGAGGAGAGAGTTTATGCGGTGAGTGTAACGCGTCTGTGCTTTGAGCGAGAGCCGGTTACCTGGATAGCTGTTCGTCATTTTTGGGCGATGTTCTCTCTCTGCGCTGGGGTCTTAGTGGGTTATTGTGAGTTCTCGCATGCGCCTGGTCGTCAGATGTCTCTGTTGGGCCCGTGCTTACACGGCTGGGTTTCTCATGTGCGAGCGAATATGTGCCGTGACGTTACCTAGTTCTCATGGCTGTGGCGGATCTGCGGCCTGGCTGCTAGACTGATCCTGCGCGTTCTCATACTATGGTGCAGGACATTCGGACTTCTGCTCAAGTACTTCATGGCGTTTCATTGCAGCGCCATGTTTCTTCTCTGCGGTGACCCTGGCCGTTCTCATGCGAGAGCGTCCTCTTGTCGTTACTGGCGGGTCTCATGTGATGTGAGGGGCTGCTCGTACTGCGGTTACTGGTTCTCATGCGGAGCGTCTTCTCTGCGGGTTCACCTGCCGTTGTGATGGGAGCGGTCTTCTCATGCGGTTAAGCCATGGTGGTTCGTAATGTTTGATACGCAGAGTGTGCTTTCTGCGATATATTAAGGCTGCGGAGGTTATGATGACGGAGCGGTCATCTCGACTGCGGTTGACCTGGAGGAGAGAGGATGACTCTCGAGTACTCAGAGTGATTTCTCGTGCGAGGCTCACTGGGAGAGGCGCGTCGCGATGAGGCGAAGGAGGGGAGCGTTATTCCTGGAGCATTTTGTATGAGCCGGGGGAGGAGTGGGGGTTGGTCGTGTGCTGCAGGGTGCGTCATCTCTGCGGTACCTGGGTTCGGCATGGCGAGGTGCTTCTCCTGCGGGGGGACCTGGGTTCTCTGCGGCGTCTTCTCCTGCGGTTACGTGGTTCTATTGCGGAGCGGGCTGTGGTCGGTTGTGGCTGACGTTAAGCCTGGGTTCTCATGGGGCGTCTCGTCTGCCGGTTACTGGATTCTCTGCGAGCGTGTTCTCTGCCGGTTAGCCGTGGGTTCTGATGCCGAGCATTTTCCGTGTCGGTGTGACTGGAGTTCTCATGCGAGCGTTCTTCTCCTGCCGGTTACCTGGGGTCTCATGCTGGTTAGCGGGTTGTGCTCTGTGTGGGCGGTTTTGATGCTGTGGGGTGTGCTCATGTAAACATCTTCTGCGGTTACTGGGTTCTCATGCGGCGTCTTCCTGCGGTTACTGGTGGTCGGTGCGCGTTGTCGTGGCGGGGTTTCTGTCCTGGCGTTTACCTGGTCTCTATGGCAGCGGTCTTCTCCCGTGCGGTTACCTGGGTTGGTTCATGTGAGCGTTATCCTGACGGTTACGGGGTCTCTGGCGAGCGGTCTTTCTGCCTGCCGTTACTGGGTTCTCGATGGAGCGGTTTCTCCGGCCGGGTTCACTGGGTTTCATGCGAGCGTTCTTTCCTGCGGTTTACCTGGGTTCTCATGCGAGGGGTCGGGTCTTCTGCGGATTAACCTGGGGTTCTCAGTGAAAACTGCCTTGTCCTGCCGGTACGGGGGATGGGGTTTCGGCTGGAGGCGTTTCTATGCGGTTATATATGTGTGTCGTGGCGTCGCTCATGGCGAGGTCCTCTCCTCCGGTTACTGGGTTTATGCGGCGTCTCTCTGCGTTACTGGGGGTCGGTGTTACTGGCTGGCGCGATGCGATCCGCGTCTCCTCTCGCCGCGTTACCTGTTATGCGAGCGTTTTCTCCTGCCGGTAACCTGGGTTCTCATGCAAAGCACCTCTCCTGCGGTTACCTGACGTTTCTCACGCGAGTCTTCTAGTGCCGGTTACGCTGGGTTCTCATTGAGGTCGTTCTGCCGGGCCGGTTACCTGGTCTCATGCTGGAGGTCTTCTCGATCGGGTACTCGAGGTTTCATGCGGGTCTCTGTGGTCGGGCTTCTGCCGTGTGTGGTTACGCTGGGTTTATCTTGTGGCGTGCTTCTTCTGCGGGTACTGGGTTTTCATGTGGAGCGTCTTTCTCCTGCCGGTTATGGGTTCATGCGAGCGTCGTCTCTGCCGGTTACTGGGTTCGTATGCTGAGCGTTTTGCCTGTCGGTTGTTGGTTGTGATGCTGAGTGTTCTATTGCTGGAGCCGCTGTTCTGCGGTGCGGTTAGCCTGGTTTCATGCGGCGTCTTTCCTGCGGTATCTGTGGGTGTGTTCAGATGTGCGCGTGGTCTGCTTCTGTCGGGTTACTGGTTGTCATGCCGTAGCGTCTTCTCTGCGGTTACATGCGGTTTCTCATGAAACTCCGTCTCTTGCGGTTACTGTGATGTTACTCATGGGGGGTGAGCGTCTTCTCATGCGGTTACCGGGTTCCTGTGAGCGTTTTCCTGCGGTTACTGGGTTCATCAAGCGGGCGGTCTCTCTAGCGGTTTACGGGGTCTCGTATGCGAGCGTCTTCTGCTGCCGGTATGGGTTCTCATGGAGCATCCTCTGCCTGCCGGGTTACTGGTTCTGCATGGCGGGCGTTTCTCCGTGCGCGTGGTGTGGGTGGTGGGTGGGTTTTTGTGTGGTGATGTGCGATGGCGTTTTCTGCGGCTTACGCTGGTTCTCAGTGGCGAGCGTTTTCTGAGCGTATACGTGGGGTTCTCATGTGAGCGTTTCTCCTGCCGGTTACTGGGCTTCTATGCAAAGTCTTCTCTGCCGGGTGAATGGCTGCTGGTTTATAGTGGTGAGCGTCTCTCGCTGTGGTACTGCCGGTTACTGGGTTCTCATGCCCGGAGTCTGTCTCCTGCGTTTACCTGGTGGCTATGCGAGCGTCTTGCTCGGCCCGGTTAGCTGTTCTCACTGCGGCGTCTGTTCCTGCCGGTGACGCTGAGGTCTCATGGCGAGGTCTTTCCTGCAGGTTACCTGGTTCTCGATAGTGCAGAGGTCTTCTCTGACGGTTAGCCTGGTTCTCTGGAGCGTCTTTCTTGGTGTGTTCGTCGGTGTACTCGTGGGGTGTGGTGGGTGGGTGTGAGTGGGGGTAGTGGGGTTATGTGGCCGGCTTCCTGGGTTTATGGCAGGCTTTCCTGTCTGTGGGTTGAGCTTATAGTGTGTGTCATTGGCTGTGGATGGCTGTTTGTCTTCCTTGGCGGCGGTTACTGTGGGTGTGGGTTCTTGCTTGTTGGCGCGTCGTTCGTGGCTTCATCGTGTTTGATCGGGTGTGTCGGATTGCGAGGGTGCGGCGTTTCTGCGCGGTTAACGGTGGTTCTCCTCGCGCAGTGTCGGCCGCTGTGATCTACCGGCTGCGAGTTGGGTGTTCATTATTAGAAAATCAGGGCCTCCGTGAGATTTTACGTCGGCGCTGGCAGCGGATATCTTGGTGCATGCGAGTGTCGTTCTCCTGGCGGTCTACTGGGTTTCTATGCAACGGTCCTTTCCTGCGCGTTGGTGGGATTGTGCGAGGTATGGGGTGGAGGTTGTCATGATGTAAACAGTTTGGTATATAAATCGATGCTTTGTTGGCAAATTGATAAGAAAATCTTCGAGGTGGAGAGGTGTGGACTTGAAGCGTGTGCATTCATGCGAGGTCTTCTCTGCGGTTACCTGGTGGGTTCTGCATTGTCGGTTTAGTGCTGATCGGGCGGCTGGTAGCGTGGGTCTATTCTGAGCGTCTGTTCATTACCTGGGTTCTCATGCGAGCGTCTTCTCCTGCCGGTTACCTGGGTTCTCATGCGAGCGTCTTCTCCTGCCGGTTACCTGGGTTCTCATGCGAGCTCTCTCTCTCTCTCTCTGCTGCAGCCCCGGGTCGTCACTGAAGACAGCCACGATGCCGATGCGCACAAACCTCAAGCAGCAGCTGATGAAGGAGCAGGTGATGCAGGAGGACCAGCGCCACGGCAACAACCAGCACTTCTTCCCGGCGTCTGCGCCCGCGGCCGGGTTCGCGTATCATCAGCCGTCGCAGAGCATCCCGGTGATCCCGGTGAACAGTCGTCCGCCGCCGGCCGCCGTGCCCGTCCAGATGCTGCAGGTGAGGAGGAGAGCGGGGGGTATGTTCTGCGGATTCGCGGGTGTTCCAGTGTGTTCCAGATGCTGCAGGTGAGGAGGAGAGCGGGGGTATGTTCCGCGGATTCGCGGGTGTTCCAGTGTGTTCCAGATGCTGAAGGTGAGCGCGAGGAGGGATGAGAGTGGGAGATTGTTCCGCGGATCTGTGGGTGTTCCAGTGTGTTCCAGATGCTGAAGGTGAGAGCGAGGGGTATGTTCCAACTTCCGCAGATCCGCGGGTGTTTCAGTGTGTTCCAGATGCTGAAGGTGAGGAGCGAGGGGGAATGTTCCGCAGATCCGCGCGTGTTCCAGTGTGTTCCAGATGCTGAAGGTGGGGAGCGAGGGGGAATGTTCCGCGGATCTGCGGGTGTTCTAGTGTGTTCCAGATGCTGAAGGTGAGGAGCAAGGAGGGATGAGAGTGGGAGAATGTTCCGCGGATCTGCGGGTGTTCCAGTATGTTCCAGATGCTAAAGGTGATGAGAGCGGGGGAATGTTCCGCAGATCTGCGGGTGTTCCAGTATTTTGGTATCCAGATTTATTGTTCTTGAGGTTTAAATCAAATCCGTTGAGAAACGTGTGTAGGTGCTGTATATGTATGTATGTATATATATGTGTGTGTGCGTGCGTGCGTGCGTGCGTGCGTGCGTGCGTGCGTGCGTGCGTGCGTGCGTGTATACAGGCAAGTGGGGCAACCCTTTATAAAAATGTCACTCAAGGGAAATGCCAACAATTTCCTGGTGTCCATCCTAAAGAGGTAACCGCTAACATATATTTGACTAGTTTCTTGTGCATTTTTATTGGATTTTGTTGGATTTCTGCATTATAGTATACATGGACATTGTCGTCGGATAGTTTTCAGTTCTTTCACAACGCGTTTAGATATATATATATATATATATAGCTAGACTATTCAGCCGATGTCTTGTGCTGAGAAGGTAGACAGACCTCTCGTATTAGCTGACTGTGTATACACGCTAAGCCGATACCTGGAGAAAAGAACGATTCTGCTAAGCAAGACGTTGTGGGCGAACTTCCAAGAAATTGCGGATTACCAGTCGCACGAAAGAAGGTCAAGCAAGGTCAACTAGTTGACTGAGCAGAGATAAGCGAGGTTGACGGCTCAGGGGTGTGAAACTTCAGCTGCGTTATTGCTAGTTGGAGCAGAACTAGTGGGTGTTGATCGTGCCAATGCTAGTTTGTAGTTGCTAGTGCTACTGCAATGTAGCGCTGTCATAGATCGCTGCATGGTGTGAGAACGCACAGTGATGGTAAAGATGAGGAGAGACTGAGGTCGGGTGAGGATGAGTGGAGGCTGAGATGGTGGGGTGAGGATGAGGGGAGGCTGAGATGGTGGGGTTGAGGGGAGGCTGAGATGGTGGGGTGAGGATGAGGGGAGGCTGAGATGGTGGGGTGAGGATGAGGGGAGGCTGAGATGGTGGGGTGAGGATGAGGGGAGGCTGAGATGGTGGGGTGAGGTTGAGTGGAGGCTGAGATGGTGGGGTGTGGTTGAGTGGAGGCTGAGATGGTCGGGTGTGGTTGAGTGGAGGCTGAGATGGTGGAGTGAGGTTGAGGGGAGGCTGAGATGGTGAGGTGAGGATGAGGGGAGGCTGAGATGGTGGGGTGAGGATGAGGGGAGGCTGAGATGGTGGGGTGAGGATGAGGGGAGGCTGAGATGGTGGGGTGAGGATGGGG